CATCAGCTCAGAGCTGCAGTTACAACACTTCACCTCTACCTGATCCCAGATGACAAGTGTGTGAGGCGGGTATGGCAGAGGGAGCTAGGTGGGGTTAAAAAAGGATGCCACCTGGGGTGGCTGCAGTAGCAGGGACTGGATTTGATAAGCAGAGATGCCTCCCGGTTTTTCTGCCACCAGCCTCTAATTCAGACAGAGCCCTGTGCCCCCACCTCCCGCCGCAGGACAGTGTCCTTGTGCCTGCCTCCGTGCCTCTCCTCTTTCACAGGTGCCTCCAGGAATCACACTCCACGGTTTTGGCTGGCACAGCATGTGCTAGCATGAGTGAAGCCGTGGCACAGGGTTCTGTGCAGCACGGAGCAGATGTAGGGCTTGCTGGCCGCTGCCAGGCACAGCAATAGGTGGCTGCATACCAGCTCTTCTGTTGTGTGCCAGCCCTTGCCCTCTCTCACAGAGCGACGGTACAGTTGCCCTGCCCGAAGTCCTGCCTGCACATGGCAGGTTCCTGCTTGCACCGAGCGAGCAGGGGCTGCCTGGCCCCTGAAGCACAGCACTGCCTGTAACACACACTCAGAGGTCTGTTCTCCTTGGGGCGGTCTTTTCTTGACCTTCTGAGGGCTACCTCCAGCTCACAGCTCTTTTCCCTTTCCTCTCTCAAAAGCAATGCTTACTGTTTGCAGGCCATTGAAGAGCAAGAAAACAATTGGAAATCAAAGCTTATTCCCAAGCCTCCTCCATTTAACCAGCTCTTCTTTGGCTGCACATACCGAGTGACCAGCACAAATTCTGTGGAGATAATGCCTGAAGTAAGTGGGAAATTTTCCTTTTTTGTTGTTTTTTTTTTTCCCCAGTGAAATAGAAAATAGAAGAAGTCTCTGTCTTTAGCCATGTTCTGCTGCCAGAATCTGTCTTAGTGGGTCTCAGAGCCAGGGGTGCAGGGAACTCTACTGGTTACAAGTGAGCATGGAGCACACTCCAAGCCCCAAAGGGGTTGCGTTTGTTTTTCCTTATAGCAGAAATCCTAATGTGGGCCTTGTTGGCCTTAGCATAGATGCATATCAAGAAGGAATTTCAGAGGTCTTGACTCAGTTGTGGTCCCAAGTCCTTCATCTTCATCTTCTCTGCAGTGAGTTTCCTTCAGCTTAGGAGCAGGACTGGGAAGACACCTTCTCTCTGTGCTGTGATGTGCCATGGCTTCTTTCTCTATTGAATCTCGTCTGAGCATTTCTGATTTTGAGCACCACAGCCTGTGGCAATCAGATTGCGATGGCTGGGAAAATCTGGGAAGATTTGGCCATTGAGCCCTTGTGTTTACTTGTTTTGGACAGCAGTTTGTGACATCCTGAGAGCAGGTAACAGTCCAATCACACGTTCAGGGCTGGTTATGAAAATCTCCTTTCATGGGTCTGCACTGCATCATGATTATGAAAAGGGGATCAGAGAAACTTAGGTTGGATTGGGACCTCAGGAAGTGTCTGGTCCAACCTCTTGCTCAAAGCATGTGAGTTCTAAAGTCGGATCAAGGTGCTCAAGGATGTGTGCAGTCAGGGTCGAATATCTCCAAGGATGGACCTACCACAGCCTCCCTGCATCTCTAGTCCAGTGGTGTAACACCCTCACTGTGATTTTTTCCCCCTGTTCTCTAACTGGAGCTTCCCTTGCTGCAGCCGGTGACTGTTGCCTCTCATCACATTGCTGTGCACATGCAGGAGGCTGGCTCTGTCTTCTCTGTAGTCCTCCTTCACATTCATGTAGTTAAAGTCAGTGATTAGTTCTCCTTGTGACTTTCTCTCCTCCATGTTGAACAAACCCAAGTCCCTTTGCCTCTGCTTGCCTATCGTGCACTACCGCCTGGAGCTGGCCTTGCTCCGGCATGTCCGTGTCTTTCTTGTACTGGGAAGCCCCGAACTGGATCCAGTGTCCAAATGTGGTCTCGGAAGTGCTGAACAGAGGTCAGGAATCCTTGACCTCACTGTGCTGGCCATGGTCTTGCTAATACAGGCTGAGAAGCAGCCAGCCTTTGCTGCCAGGGCACACTGCTGACTCCTGTTCAACTTGCGGGCCCACCAGGACTCCCGAGTCCTTCCCTGCAAAGATGATTTCTGTGTCCACCCAGTGCCCAGGCTCTGGTCTGGCGTGGGGCTGTTCCATCCCAGACACAGGGCTCTGCATTTGCCTTTGCTGACTTGCACGAGCTGCCGGCCAGCTAAGTTGTCCAGCCCTTCCTCCCCTCCAGCTTATTCATCACCCCCCTGCAGCTACAGCTGAGCCGCCACCGAGCTGAGCTGAGCTGAGCGCAGCCCCAAACAGCCAGGGCCTTCAGCTGAATTGAGGGCCAGGCTTAAACCCATGAATCACAAGGTAGGGTTTGGTTTTCCCATTCCTGGAATGATTAGGTAGTAACTGGGCAGTCTGCCTCGCAGAGCAGTTGTAAAGATGAGAGAGTCAAGCTCTCAGCAGTGTCAGGTAAAATCCATAAGTTGTACCTGGGAAGTTCAGGCCGAATGTGAGGAAAAAATTTATCACTTGGTGGAGATGCAGCCATCAGAGAAGGTTAGAAGGTGGTGAATGTCTAATTTTTGAGATTTTCAGTACTCTGACTGAAGCAGATCTAGACTTGACATTGGTCCCTCTTTGGGAGGCAGGTCCGACATGACACTCCAGAGGTCCCTTCCAACCAAAATTTCTGATATCGGCAGCATTAAGAGAGCCCTGACGTGTGCATCTTCCCTTGTCTTTTCCCTTCTGGTATGGCCAGGAAACACAGGCTCTTGTGAATTCCCCATGAATGTGAATTCACAGCGGCTCCTCACTGTGAGAGAGACTCAACTTGCTTCCTACCTTTACAGGCACACTTTCCATTCTGCTACAAGAGTCCGAAAGAGCAGCAGCTCTTTCTCGAGATCTACATCGAGGACATGACAGAGGAAGTTGGGCTCCTCATGACAGACACCCGTGATGACACCGTGGTCTGGAGGGCATCACTGAGACCAGGTAGGAACAGCAGGTCCATCTAGGGGCTCATTCGCCTTAGCTAAAGCAGAGATACACCACCCAAGCAGACCTCATGCAGTCTGTGGCCACAGTAGTCCATGTGTCCTGCAAGGAAAGCAAACCCTGAGCATGCATCAATTGGCCACTGAAGAGTAGGGACCTGAAAGGACACCCCAATGTCAGTATACCTGAGCATGAGATTTAATGTGGAGTTTCAGGTGCTGGGGTTTAAGAGATCATGACAGCACTGCTGGTGTCTCTCTGTTCCCTTGCTGCTGTTTGCATAGAAATCTGACATATTTTTAAAAGCCCATTAATGTAACAAACTCCCATGGACGTGCTAGTGCAACCACTGTGCCATGCAGAGGAGGTAAGGAGAATACCAAAATTTTTGTGAAAATCAACATCAAAACCCGACATGTTCCAGGCAGCGCTACTCTTCCAGATTTGCTGGGTGTGACACCAGTGTGCAACCACACCTGGAGCTGACAGGATGGGGGCAAGGCGAGATGCACCAGAGCCTGCCTTCACCACAAGTTTCTGCTCACAGTGGCATCACAAATGTTGCTCGCAGCAAGCCTGCTGATGGTGAGAGGACTGCTCTCGTGTGGCATCCGGAGACCACTGCTTACAACTATTCTGCTTTAGGGCTGACCGCCCTGACTCGGGTCCCATGCAGAACTTGGGTCAGGACGGCAGATGATGGAGGCAGAAGGAGCAGGGTTAGCACTGGTGGGTGCCAAACTTGTATTTGTGTGTCCTCTGGGGGGACAGGGGCGCACCCAGCTCCAGGGCGGCAGGTCCCTGATCACGCCTCTTCCCAGCTGCTGCCCGCTCAGCTCAGCAGCCACTGCACGGGCCATTAACTTCAAGTAGCAACCCCCACACGTGGCTTCCACTGTGGGAAAGCTTGGCAAAGGCGCTGCGGGCAGCAGCATCTCACAGGCGCAGGCTATGGTGCTGCTCAGTGTGCTTTGAGACCCCTTGTGCGTTGGTGTAATCCAGCACCCTCTAAAAGTAACACCTACAGCCACACAGAGGCCAAGACCTTTTACTGAGTTCTCCACAAATGGGGGGAAGAGCAGGAGGAAGGGCTGACAGCTTTGTGGAGGATTAGGCACCTCAGGAAGGTGTTCTGGGAGGTTAGGCACCATCATGTCAGTGATGGCATATCCAGTGATCTCCCTTATTTCTCTTTCAGGTGATATTGCTCTTCCAGCCTCTGCCTTCAAGGCCTTGCCAGGTCAGTACAGTGTTTCAGAGCTGCATTTCTAGAGTTTTATTCTGTTTCTCCAGGGCCACAATACTTGAGCATTACCTCTTGCATCTCATCTTCCTGATGAAAAGCCAGATCCAAGAGGACACCCAGTCAGCTAAGCCACAGGTTGAGGCAGAGAGGCCTGGCTCAGTTAGAGACAAATTTGGACATTTCAGTGTTACTCTTTTTCCTTGCCATGCACGTGGAGTCACCACAGTGACCTACAACCTCCCTGGGAGCACCGACAGTGTATGGTGGCAGACAAGAGCAAGGACAGGACAAGGGGCAATGGATTTAAACTGAAAGAGAGTAGGTTTAGATTGGACGTAAGGAAGAAATATTTTACACGGAGGGTGGTGAGACACTGGCACAGGCTGCCCAGAGAAGTTGTGGGTGCCCCATCACTGCAAGGGTTCAAGGTCAGGCTGGATGGGACATTGAGCAACCTGATCTGGTGAAAGACGACCCTGCCCATGCCAGGGGTTGGACTAGGTGGTCTTCAGAGGTCCCTTGCAACGCAAACCACCCTGTGATTCTACAGGGAGATGCCCGTCTGGGTGCCCACTTCAGCCCACTTCAGTAGGAGTGGGTGGAGGCTCGGGAGGAGACGCCGGGCAGCGCTGCCCACTGCACTGCCCCGCGGTTTGCTCAGCACCCCGCTGGCATCGGCTGCCTTTCCAGGTTCTGTTTATTTACAAGCAGCTTGCAATCCTGTGAGATTTCAGAGCTTTGAGCAACCTGTGCTCTGAGTTCGGAGCTCCTCACCTTGCGGGGCAGGGGGCAGAATGGGAACCTCACACCCAGACACTGCAGGAGTCCCAGGGAGGGGCGGTTGCCGCCGGCTGATGGGGGCTGCCACCGACCTCACCTCCTCCAGCTCGGACTTCATGTTCCTGCCCCCTTCCTTGCCCTGTCCCCAGTGCTCCCACCGCTGGTGCAGCAGGTGCCCATCCTTTTTTGTGGAAGGATGGAGACATGTGGCTGTGGGACAGGACACACAGCCATGGTGTCTGTTGGCTTAGGGTGCCACGTACCACGGCATGGCACTCACCTGCAGTAACATCAGCTTGGTGTATCCTAGGTGCAGCCTTCATGAAGAAGCACAAGACCAAGCTTTGCTCCAGGATGGTGCAGCTCTCCACCATTCTGCTACACTTACGGGATGCAAATGTCATCAACAGCGATGAAGAAGAGGAGGTGTATAGTCAAGGTACGAGGCAAAGGAAGAACCAATTTTTGCTGGAGCTAGTTGAGAAGAAAGGACTGGAAGCCCAGGAACAGCTGTATCAGGTCCTCCTGAGGAAAGACCCATACCTCATCTCAGACCTGGAGAAGTGCACCAGCTAGGCCTGGAAGCAGACCGCTTGTGCTCTGATTGCTCATCTTATGGGAGCAACAGAAGGGCAGTCAGGCTTAGCAGCACATGAATCCTGACCTTTCAGTGCCAAATCCGTGGTGCTGAGCAGCAATGAGCCTTCTGAAGCAGCCCCATCTCAGGCCTGCCTTGCCTGGCTGACTCGGTTGCCAGCAGTGGAGGACCAGCGTCACGCCAGTCGCTGGTGCGCAGCTGCTGGAACAAGAGACCCTGGTTCCCAATGCAGTGCCAATACTTTGGACCTGTCTGCCTCCCTGAGACAGGGCCTCTGCCTCTCCAGCAGCTCCAGGCACCTTCTAGCTGAGGAGTTTCCATCACAACAGTACCTGCAGCTCAGCCTCCCCATCCTCAGTGTCCATGGGCACCTCTTGTGGCTGGAAGAGGGGAGCTGCTTTACCACGCAGAGGGGTCTGCACAGGCTCATGCACAAGCCGCAGCAAGCCATAGATGTTGAAGTGAAGCCATATCAACATCAATCCTTCCCCTCATTTCCCTCCAGCCTAGTTTACCCAAAATTCACCGAAGGAGCAAACAAGTCTCCTGACCCCAGCAGCAGCCAGGTGAAGAACCCCCTCCCAAAGAAGCCACGAAAAATAGCAAAGATCAGACATACGGGTTCATGCACCTTCGGGGAAAGCTGACCCAATAGCAGCCACTTTACATTCCAAAGAACGCCAACAGATTTCTTTTGTAAATCACATTCTTCACATCAGTTCCTTTCTTGGATCATGTGGATGCTTTCACTGGTGGCATGCTCCTGCTGTTCAATGAGCCCGTCAGGGCAGGAGCAGTCTGCTTTGGTGTCCAGTATCGAAGAAGAGATTTTTTTGGTCCAGCCTGGGTGAAATGCAGACTTGCCTAAGTGAAGGCAGTAACTTTTGGAAGCTCAAAGGAGCTTCCAGAGACTGTTCAGTGAAAAGGTCCCCATCACACAATGTGGGGTGGAAATGAGACTGCTGCCTTATGTATTGCTTTATATTTATTCCCTCTCTTGAACACCTGGTGAGCACATTGCTGCTAAAACAGACTTTAACAGTGAGTCTCTGCTCTGTTAAGGATCGAGGAATTTCAGTGCAACCAGGGAAAATACAAAAAAGGAAGAAGCTGGGAACAAGGCCGTGCAGGGACACAGACCTAACGCCCAGATGGGAAGGGAGGCAGTGGAAGGAGCAAATATCACCACACGCACTAATTCATAGGCTGTTTTTTGCCTCTGTTGTGGAAAACTGTTCCCACACAGCTGCCCAGCAAACAGCAAGAACTGGGCCTTGGAAGGGTTCAATAAATTGCTTTGCAGGGAATTATGCCAAGAGTAAGCTCTGTTGGTGGGCCACGGGTGGTCAGACACGGCAGACGCTACAAGCGTTCAAGATTTGGGCCTGTTTCACTACATGTTGCATCACTCCAGGGGAGGGATGGTAAGACACTAGCAGCAGTGTGGGGCTGCGCTGCCCTGGGAACAGTGGGAGATGCAGCGTGGCCTGCAATGGGGCGGCTGGGCTAGGGCAAGGACCTGTGCCGGCAGGGCGTGCAGGCAGCCCCGGCCCCGGGAGATGGCTGTGGGTCCTCCCTTCCCTGTAAACACCACAAAGCTGCCGGGCAGTTCATGACCCCATCATCGCCGTCTCTTGGAGTGCAGCCTTGGCTCTGGGCACTGACTCCATCACCCTGACCCCACTCCCACACTGGGCACTGCCTGGGCCACAGGGTCGATCACTGAAATGTGCCTGTTCCCCCTCTGCCAGGGCAAAGGGAGCCCTGAATGCCGCTGGCAGGTCCTGCCCTCCTGCCTGGCTCCTGGGCTGTCCTGGGGACAGCAGTGCCTCACTGGGGGGCTGACAGGACCGTGCCAGCAGTGCCAGGCAGCTGCCCACCATGCTGCCCACCCTCGGCTCCCTTCAGCTCTGCAGGGGTCAGGGACATGGTAACCCCCAGCCCTGCACCTCCCACCACCCTCAAATTACACCCCCCCACCCGTCTGCCACTGCAGCAGGGACTGGGACGGGCTGGTCCCCCATGCAGCCTGTGGCAGGCAGAGGTGGCAGGAAAGGGAGGGCAGGGATGGGCTGGGGAGAGGCCGAAGGACAGGCCCTGGGGTGACGTGTAACCAAACGGGGGACACTGCCACCTCCAGACCTGCTTTCCTGCTGGATCCAAGGCTCTGCTGCACCATTCCCTTGGGAAAACGCTCTGCCCTTGCCTGCACAGCCCTGCCCTGCCTTCCCCAGGAAAGAAAATCCCAGAGGAGGAGCCGGGTTGGGGAGAGGGGGAAAGGTAAGGCACCAAGTGAGAGAGGCTGTGCGAATGGAGCAGCCCGGGGGAGACAGGCTGATGCAGGCAGGGAAGAAAGCCCAGTGCAGGCAGGGGAGAAGAAAGCCGGGTGCAGGCAGGGACTGTGGGCGGGAGGAGGAGCACTCATCCGAGGCCTCAAAGCGCTCCGACGGCCCTGACATCACCCGGCACTTTCGCTTTCTGGGGAAGTGACGGAGCCGAGCGGAAGGGCAGAACCTCGGAGAGGGCTGAACGAGGCGCCATGGCAGAGCAGCAGCCCGCGGCCGACAGCCCCAGTGAGTTCAACGTCTTTATTAAGACTTTGTTTGGCAAAACTTTTGTCATCCCAGTGTCTCTGGATACCAGTGTCCGGGAGCTCAAGGCCAAGCTGAACGCACAGGACCCCTCCCTGCTCCCCGAAATGGGAAGGCTGATCTACGGCAGCAAGCAGTTGGAGGACGACCAGACCCTGCGGTACTATAGAGTCAAACCCGAGTCCTCTTTGTATCACCTACGAAGGTGTAAGTAGAGGGTGGCCTGGGGGAGGAGGGTGAGGGTCCATTTGAAGGTGGGAGAGGGAGAATGGTGCAGATCGGGGTGTCTCCTGAGGAGGGACCCCGGCCCAGTGCGCAGGCAGGAGCCTCCACAGGCAGGAGGGAAGGGGCAAGGCGGCTGCAGCCGTGTGTGCACCAGGGAGCGGCCAGAGCACTGGAAGGTGGGAGGGATGCGAGGGCCCGGGGATGCACCTCTGCGGGAAGAAGGCAGGAGGGAGAGGAAGGACTCTGCTCCTGGAAGCTGAGCAAGAAATCTGCCCTCTGTATGGCAGTGGGGAGGGATGGAGAAGCGGAGCCTGGGACCGTGTTCTCAGCCCCACGGTGCACTGCCCTGCTGGGATGGGCAGCTGGGTGGGACTCCCGGTAGCTTGGTCCACGTGGGCCCAAAGGAGCAGGAAGAGGTTTTGTAGCAAAGGCGTGAAGAAGAGGGAGAGGTTGGTCAGAGGGTGGGATACTCCTCTGGACATGACCTGCCTCCTGACCTCTCCTCTGCTCTGTGTTGCTGTTGCAGTGCGAGGTGGTGGCGCAGGTCTCGAGTTTCCAGGTAAGGTCACGTCCTGGTCCTCACTGAGAACCTGGTGCTGTGGGGCTGGTGGAGCTGCACGGTGGTGAGCGCAGGACCACAACTCACTGCATGGTGGTGAGCATGTCCCTGCCACGGCCATGGAGGAGGATGTGGAAGTTGTGGGAGATGTCGGAGCATGTACACGAGAGGACTAGTGTGGTTGGTGGGATCAGGAAGGTTGGGTGAAGGCTGCTTCAGGATGGTTTCTTCTCCCAAACATGGGTCAAAAATGACAATGTCTTCCTGTTCCTGTTACAGACCTCCTCACACGGCGTTTACTCTATCAGCGATCTCGGCTTAAAAAGGCCTCAAAGAGCGCAGAGGTGAGGTCTGGCAGGACACGATGCCTGGGGCTGGGGTGCCTGAGTGAGGAGCACCATGGGGCTGGGGAGGAAGGCACAGCTGCAGCGCATGGAGTCACAGCCAGCCCTGAGGATGGGCAGTCCGGCACTGCCCATCGCCACCACAGCAGCGTGCAGGGCAGCAGGAGCTGGTGGGCGCTGTCCTCAGCCGCCGGAGAGGGACCTCACCCTTCCGGCAGGCCAGGCGGGCACAGCTCCTGCCCCAGCCTGTTCCCTCCCTGCGGGAGCGGGGCGCAGGGCCAGCACTACACCTGATGCCGGGGATGTTGCTTATGCTCTCAGACCTCTCCTCCTGCCTCCAGCAGGCAAGCACAGCTGGAGAGGAGAACTACAGCTTGTGAGCGTTTTCCCCTTTGTTCCCCTCTGCAGGAGAGATATCACAGGGTGAAGTTGGGATCATTGCCATGGAAGAAGTGTGGCTGCATGAGGGAGGTAAGGGCTTTTCCAGTCCTGGCAGGGCACTGTCACACCCAAAGGAAATGGCACAGAAGGGAGCCTGGGACTGACCCTGGCTGTCACCTGGGAGGGTGGGTGTGCCTTCAGAACCTGTTATTCACAGCAATTCTTCATCCTCCAGAAGAGTCTGGTCTCTTGCTACACAAGCTCGGCACGTGCTGCCCCAGTCATCAATTTTTTGGGAAGGCAAATTCCATTTGCTCGCATCCCAAATTTGTTCTCAATGCTAAACATTTCATCTGTCTGTGGCCACTGTCCTCTCTGCTGATACCCCATGGCAGAGAGGGAACAGCGCAGGCTTTACTCACAAGAAAGTCAGCAGCCAACATTTTCTCTCTCAGGGAACAGAAACTTTCCTGTCTGGAATTCCCATTTGCAAAATACATTCTAAAAACCGGTGGGTGAAACACATAGTTTGGAGTTCTGTGAGCTGGTCTGTGTGTTCACCCATCACTTTCCGAGTGATGCGTGGGGGATGCATGGATTCACTGATGCCTTCGCCACCCCAGTGGCATCTACCCAAGTGGGGCTCAGTGTTCAGTCCTTCTGGCTGTGCCTCCACACAGGCTTTCTCTTGGGCACAACTACAGGGATCTTCGTTCAAGGGGCTAAGAGCCTCAGACACGGCCAGTGCTTGTTTCAGATCCCAGGGCAGAGGAGTTGACAGTCAGTGATTTTTCTGTCCTCTTCAGTGATGAGAGTGATGCCTTTCTGGGCACCAGGCAGCAGCTGCTGATCCCCCCCCACCACTGTGGGGATCTGAGCTCCCATGCCAAGCTGCATTGTGCTTCACTGTAAATCCCAACATCTCGAGCAGCACCCGGCCTGCAACACTCCATTCAGTCCAGAACAGCCCACACATGTTTTGCAGGTTCTTCCAGAAGTGATGCCAGAGATAACCCTAGATGCTTTGGAGGTCTGCACCGTGTACCGGTAAGAGCTGTTGGGTGAAGCGGGAGCACGTTCCAGAAGCCTTGTCCCAGGTGACATGAGCCTGTCATCCCTCCCACCTGCAGGGCTCAGCTCTGGGGTCCAGGCGTCTTCCAGTGCTGCATCACAGGCCTCGGCTTCGAGGTGAATTCGGCAGTGACCATCACCTACGGATACGCTACCTGGAACAGTCATCTGAGCGAGGCTGACCAGGAAATGTGGGTGCCCGCTGGACCCCTCTTCCACATCGAGGTGCAGCCCGGGGTCGTGGAGGCAGTGCACCTCCCTCACTTCATCTGCCTGGCAGGTACGGCAGCCGCAGGGACCTCGATCTCCCGAGCCACCATCCCTCAGCTTGTCCACCCCTGGGGACATCTCTGGCTCCTCTCTGGGCAGGGCCAGATTCTCCCTTCCTTCTGAGGTACCCTGTAGTCCCTCGTATTCTTCTGCTTTGCTTTAGTGTCCTTCGTGCTTCTCTCACTTTCTATCAAGCCTTCGCAGTGGTCCCTTCCCCAGCTCCCACTCCATACAACCAGTCCCTCCTCCCCCACCCTCTCGTCCCAGATCCCAGCACGACCCCGGGGCACAACCCCAGCCCAGCTGCCGATCAGCCCCCGGGATCCCCTGAAGGGTTTCTCAGCCTGGGGTTGGGCCAGGATGACTAAACAGAACCTTGTTGCCTTTGCTGTCTCTTGCAGGAGATGTGGATACCAGCCTGTGCTCCATTGCCCACTTCAAATCTGGGCAGATGGCCCTGGAGACACCAACCAGAGTGATTCCTTTCTCTGCTGTCCTGGAGAAGCCGAACTTCTCACTGCTTGGTGTGCTTTGGAGGAAGTTACGTTCGACCTTAAAATCAATCCCTGCTCACTCCGTCGTGCTGATCTTCCATCAGCTCAGAGCTGCAGTTACAACACTTCACCTCTACCTGATCCCAGATGACAAGTGTGTGAGGCGGGTATGGCAGAGGGAGCTAGGTGGGGTTAAAAAAGGATGCCACCTGGGGTGGCTGCAGTAGCAGGGACTGGATTTGATAAGCAGAGATGCCTCCCGGTTTTTCTGCCACCAGCCTCTAATTCAGACAGAGCCCTGTGCCCCCACCTCCCGCCGCAGGACAGTGTCCTTGTGCCTGCCTCCGTGCCTCTCCTCTTTCACAGGTGCCTCCAGGAATCACACTCCACGGTTTTGGCTGGCACAGCATGTGCTAGCATGAGTGAAGCCGTGGCACAGGGTTCTGTGCAGCACGGAGCAGATGTAGGGCTTGCTGGCCGCTGCCAGGCACAGCAATAGGTGGCTGCATACCAGCTCTTCTGTTGTGTGCCAGCCCTTGCCCTCTCTCACAGAGCGACGGTACAATTGCCCTGCCTGAAGTCCTGCCTGCACATGGCAGGTTCCTGCTTGCACTGAGCGAGCGGGGGCTGCCTGGCCCCTGAAGCACAGCACTGCCTGTAACACACACTCAGCGGTCTGTTCTCCTTGGGGCGGTCTCGTCTTGACCTTCTGAGGGCTACCTCCAGCTCACAGCTCTTTTCCCTTTCCTCTCTCAAAAGCGACGCTTACTTTTTGCAGGCCATTGAAGAGCAAGAAAACAGTTGGGATTCAAAGCTTATTCCCAAGCCTCCTCCATTTAACCAGCTCTTCTTTGGCTGCACATACCGAGTGACCAGCACAAATTCTGTGGAGATAATGCCTGAAGTAAGTGGGATATTTTCTTTTTTGTTGTTGTTGTTTTTTTCCCCAGTGAAATAGTAAATACAAGAAGTCTGTTGCCTAATGATGCTTAACGACCTGGCTCAGGGAAAAACAGCACAGCGGCCAACCCCAGGCCGCTCGGTCCATCTGCACACAGACATCAATGTGACGGATGGCAAATGGTGTTTATTATTGTATAACACCGCTTTTTATACCCTGGGTTTATGACGTCACATCCGTCTGCCTACGTTTTATCTTCCCATACAACACGATATCTTCTGAGTGCCAGACCCTAACTCCCACATTTCCCCCCCCTCCCCCCATGCTATTTTAATGGTATGACAATACTTGTCAAATGTATTGGTAGGTTATATTGATTAGGAATTAGATAAACCTTAAAAAACACAGCGTACATAAAAAAAAATGTTTCATAAAGGCTGGAATTATATAGCAGTTGCAATCATTGATAAAATGGTAAACTAAATATATTATTTGTGATTAAAATATAAAATAGTGCACTTAATCAATAAGAATGCTAACGTTCAGACCCGCAATCGCTAGGGAACCCTGGGTGCAGCGAGATTCAGAGTGCCTTTCCTCACAAACTGGAAACCCTACGTGATGCGTCCATCCGTAGGAGAGGCATCCAACATCGCTGCAAGCAGGTCCTGCTCTGAAATCAACAGGCTAAAATGACTGGCAAATTCCTTTAAGCGGGAACATCTGATTCTAAATCTCCTGTTGGGTTCTTCCCAGAGCCTGGCCAGCACTCTGGGGGAAGACCAACGGAGTTTCTAAAGGTAAAATAGTTAAAGTTCTTTGTTCTTAATGCCAGTAAATATAAAAATAAGGCATACATATAAAACATTAAGGCTATAGATAATACTTAGACTATCAGACTTAAAATGACAGACTAAGGAGGTAATATATTGAGTGCCAAGTGAGCATGCTTTAGAGCATTTGCTGGTGATCGATAAACAGAATGTTAACCTTTTCTAAGCGGCTTTTCACAAACGACACTAACTTATTCAATATGCAAGGCCCCAAAATTAGTACCAACAGTATTATGGTGAGTCGGCTGATCAGAGCGGAAAAAATGATGGTTAGCCATGGAGACTGTCTGAACCAAGAGCTGAACCATTCTTGTAGGGCTTCTCTTTCCCTTTTTCTTTGGGCTAGCAGATCTCTCAATTCAGCCATGGTGTCCTGTACGATTCCTGTGTGGGCTGCATAAAAACAACATTCTTCCCCTAATGTGGCACAAAAACCTCCTTGATACAACAGTAGAAGGTTTAACCCTTGCCTATTCTGCAAAACGACCTTCGAAAGGACAAAGACTTTTTCCAAAAAGGAGATAGATTTTTCAATTCTTTGTAGGTCCTCATCTATGGTCATTTGTAGCTGGGATAATCCCTGGCACTGGGTCGCGAGGGCCGTAACTCCTGTGGCTGTGCCGACCGCTCCTAGCCCAAGCAGCGTTGCAGTGGTGATGCCTGTTAGTACCGCTCTTTTATCAATCTGGTGAGGTTCTTCGAAATAGTGATATAGGTCTTCCTCTGGGTGATATAGGACCTTAGGAGCAACTATAACTTGGACACAAAAGTCGGCAGAATTATCAAAAAGGATAAGGGAATCACAGGGGGTTACTCCTGACTTGTGGCAGACCCACATTGTGGATGTGAACAGGATTGCCCATTTGTAGGCTCTGTTGACCCGAACAGTTTTCGCACAAACAAAACTACCCCAGTTTGCCAAAGAGGTATTGCCCAGACATACGCCCTGGCCCTTGACCTGGTTCAGGGTGATCCCTCTCCGTGGTGTGTCCCACCTGCATTGAGTTGGATTATTGTCTGGCAAATAGTAAAAGGAGGCATTGAGGGCGATGCTCTCATAAAAGGGCGGGTTCATATCGTAGCACAGCCAGCAGGAGCTCGTGAGGTCTGGATCTGACTGGTGCAGTGACAAGAAGGGAGCATTCAGTGCATTAAGGAACGGCTTATCAGGTGAGCGGTAAGGGCCCACCTTGGGTTCGCTTGGAGGGGTGATCTGCCTAGCTACTAGGGGAGTAGTTAGGATAGGGGTGGATAATGGCAAGCTTTCTCTTCCTTGTTCAGCATCATTGTCGTTTCTGACTATGACATTGGGGCCGATTGCTGTGCTGCTTTGTATACCCCGTTTTCTAATAGAAAACAAGCTCCCCCTGTCCGTACTAGATTCATAGTGTCTGACGCCCCAAATTTTCCCAATCATCCATCTCAGATCATCCTCATTGGTGACACTGAGCATAAGGTACAGACACCAATTCTTGATTTTCCCATGGGTTGCTTCTAGCCCTGGTCTTAAGGGGTCTTTTGGAGAAATGACACACCTGTAAGGTCCTGGTTGTACTTTCAAATATTTGTCTGGTCCTGCTTCTGGCACCCAATCTGAGGCAATTGTCTCACATCCCCTGTGGGAACAGTAATACTGATTGGGGGCGTTACAGTAAGGCCTGCCAGGGTTAGAGCTAGGACACATGTAATAGCTCGACGTGTGTAAACAGGACTCTACTGGGGCTAAGTCACAGAGTTTTACCTGAAAGCTAGGGGCCCCGAAGTGATGATTGTTTGCAGTATCTCTTGATCCCATCTCGTTAATACCCGTTCCCACGGCTGGTGTTCATACGAGCCACAAGATACTATGAACCCTAAAAGCAAAATTAAACAGAAAGATCGCAGCAGCCCTTTGTGGGGGCGTCTCAGCTGACGCTTGGGTTCTGGTGAAGCAGAGCTCTCCGCTGTAGTCAGGGTATTCTCCGACTCACTCTCCTCTCTTGCCACAGGAGCATACGGGTTACGGGGGCGCCCGATGGTTAGGTACTGCGAATAAAAACTTATAGTTCTCATTAGTTTCATCCTAAAGGTCGGGTTTAATAGACTTAAGAGGGCACCATTTAATTTCACCATCTTTTTAACTGCGGCATACTCCCGTCCTGTTAAAACTATCCTCCACCCCTGTTCCCATTTTCCCAGTTCATTTCTGATTGTGGCCGGTCGACCTTCTTCTAATGCTCGAGTGGTCCAGTATTTTTGGGCGGGGCTATGTACCTCTTCTCCTCTGGGGAATTGGTTTAACGTTAGCAGGGCAGTTGCCAAAAGACGTACTTGGTCTTCTGATGGAATGGCGTTGGTAAAGCCTTCTGTCTTTGCTAATATTTCTAATTTCGATTTCAGAGATTCATGTAGTTGACGGGCCTCCCTTAGCGTCTGTAATTCTTTTGCAGCAGTGTCAGCTTTATCATCACCGATTTGGAAGTACCTTTTAACAGGACTATGACTGTTGACATGGAGAGCTGAAACAGTGCCTTTCCTGGTGGAGAGTGCCTCTTTGAGCATTAGCGCTGTTGTGGATGTTGTCACGCCAGGACCTGACATGGCTAGGCAAAGTTTAGCTGCAAACATGGAGTCAGTCACTATATTGAGATGTTCCATTGGGAACAACCCGCATGCTCGTACTATAGCTGCTGCTTCTAGCTGTTGAACTGAAAGCTCATAATCGGCTGGTTTGATACGGTGCCATTTGTCTCCTGATTGCCACACTGCTACGGCAGTCGATGTCATTGAAGATGCATCTGTAAAGACTGTTGGTTCTTCCTGAGGTTGGTCCATGACCTTAGATGGGGGGTCAACATCTACAACCACCAGCATTTGAGTCCAGGGAGGTTTTGTGGCATACCGGATTTCTCCACCAAATCCAGTCAGGGCTATAGCTACATACTCTGATGTCGTCACTGACTGCGTTGAGAGCTGCTTACAGAAGGGTAGGTATATTCTGGCGGGCTTGATGCTCAAGTGTCTTAGGGTGAGTTTTCTGCCTTTCATGATGAGATTACCAATGCACTCGACCCCTGGAGAGAAAGCACATGATGGTTTTGCCAGAGCTATCCATTGTATTGGTTGGGCTTTTTCAGGGGAGCCCTGAGCTAGTGCTCTTACTCCTCCTCCTGACGTGAAATGTACGTACAGATCAAGTGGTACATTCGGGTCCCATCTGGCGAGCGTGCTTGACGATACCTGCTGTTTGATGAAATCAAAAGAGTTCACCACTTTTTTCATCAGAGCTTTTTTCTCCCATGGGTTTTTTCCTTTTAGAAGATCATACAGGGGGGCCATGATTTCAGGGGGAATTAGGACGATATTGAGGAGCCATTGTAAAGACCCTACTAGCTGTTGTATATCATAAAGTGTTTCAATGTGTCGACGGATTTTTACCTGAGGAGGGGTTATATAAGAACCTGTAATTCCTACTCCTAAAAAGCTTACACATGGTCCTTTCTTAATTTTTGTGCTCACAATTTTGAACCCGTTTGCTTTCAGGGTTTCTGAAATTGTTGACACCAAGTGGTCCACTTGATTTTCTGACGGTGCGGCGATTAAGATATCATCCATGTATTGAATGATGGTTGCAGTTGGGGCTGTGGCGCAGGTTGAGCTATAATAAGTTGAGCCATAAAATTGATCGCTTCTCGAGGGGGGAGTGGGTTCGGGAGTGCTTTGCTCCATCCAGGGTTGGAAAATTTCTTTGGTTGCCAAATTGCATTGTTGACAAATGCATTCTGTTACAACTGGGCCTTTTGCCTCTGCAGGTAATGTTGAAGAGTCGATCACTGCCTGGAGGCGGTCTATGAACTGTGTGAAGCTCTCACTTTCATTTTGTTTAATAGTAGACCAAGAGGACGGCTTTGCAATGACCCTACAAGCTATGCAAATGGCGTCTCTGGCCGCATGAGAAGTTGCCATAATTTCCTGGGCTTGTAGGCCTTGAGCTTGCGCTTGAGGGGTAATTATCTCTGGATCTGTGCCCATCGGACGTTGCAAGCTAGATCCATGCAAGGGATGGTCTGCTCCCGCTACTTGAGCCAATAATCTTCTACAAATATCCTCCCATTCTAGTTTAAAAACAATCATCCCTGCTCCGTCAAAGATTAGTCTACAAGTTTGTATTATGTCAAATGGGAGCATGTCGTCTCCCCCAAAACCACCATCAATAAGGGTGGAGACTAAGGCAGAATTGAGACC